ACTCCAAGTGCCTGATATGCTGAAAGTATGCTGGTTTACTTTACTACAGAATTAAGCTCAATAACTTCTCAAATGTGCACAAGACAAAAGGGTGAGCACAGAGTTCTTGTTACAGGGAATTTTTTTTTCTAAATTAAAATATCAGAAATGGTTATTTTTCAGCTAAAATTACTAGGCTTTTAAAGTCAGCACCCACATACAGTCTCCTAGAGACTACCAGATTGTGACATTTTAATTTGGTAGGCAGAACCTTTTATCTAAAAACATGTTTCCTAGAATTATAAAGGGAAAATCAGCAGATGGGTTTGCAATTTATAAAGAAAATTTATTTTAGATCGCCTTCAAAGCTGAGGAAGAGAGGAATAAAGTAATACTGCTATTTTGTAGCTTTAATGCTTCAGTGGATCTGATCTCATCAATGTAGATATTCCTTCTACCGGTACAGGATGAGATACTACTACTGTTTACACATTTACCTATTCATTCATTCATTCATTCATTCATTCATTCATTGAAGCTTGACTTATGATTTCAAATGCAAGAGAAACTCTCAATGAGGAAACTCCTTCTACTAATGCAGACAGGCATATGATGTTCAACCTGAAACTCTGGAACTTAAACCCAGGTTTTCTTAGCTATGAGGCCAGTCCTCCCTGCATTACGATAGTGATCATTTATATAGTGCTTACTGTGTGCTAGGCACTGTACTGTGTACTTTACAATAATTATCTTATTTGATCCTCACAACAACCCTGGGAAGTAGGTGTTATAATTATCCCCATTTCACAGATGAGGAAACTGAGGCAGAGGTTAAATGACTTGCCTTAACTTTAAATCACTATCTTGCTATTATTCTTTCATATTTAATATTTTATGAAGTCTTACACTGGTGGATAAAATAACTGCTTTTTTGTACATGAGTAATAAGTGATAGAATATAATCTTATCTCTAGACTCACTTAAAGCACTTTTTAAATAATTGCAGAAGCAAAACAGGAAGATGGAGTGATATATATTTTATCCTATTTCCATATAGTTTTAATTTCTCTTGTCATATATTTCTATATTAAAAAAACTTTTAATTCCATGTAATTTGAAAGTATTTGGCATGGTAATAGCCATGAAAAATATTATTTTTAATTTCTTATGCTTCAGTAATATGTCCTAGTGATTGTAGATAACAGATCTCTCTATTAAGGACACTTATAAGGACACTTAAGGAATGTTTATTTGTTGAATTCTCAAGGATATTTTGAACTTTGTGTGAAGTCTAAAGTTACTATGGGTTTAGGCTTTTTCTTTTTTGTTTTTGGTGAGGCAATTGGGGTCAAATGACACAGCTAGTAAGTGTTATGTGTCTGAGGCCGGATTTGAACTCAGGTCCTCCTGACTCCAGGGTCGGTACTCTATCCACTGAGCCACCTAGCTGCCCCAGGGTTTGGGTTTTTGGCTGTTTTTTTTTTTGTTGTTGTTGTTGTTTGTTTTTTTGTTTTTGATTTATATGAGAATAATGAGCTTCTGGGGTATAATTATAGCTGTCTAATCATGTCTTCCTAGGAATTTAGGAGATGCTATGTTTTTAAACCTATAATGATACAGTTTCCATTGTTTCATCACATAATCTGCATCAGTCAATAAGTCTGGACTCCTTAAGGATAACCTTTCTGTAATTTATAGTGGCAATGACCTTATCCTGAATTGCTATCAGAAGTCTGTGTTTCTACATACAAATTTGCATGACTTACATATCTGTTGAACATTTCTTTGTTGACAATGGCTGAATTGATGAGGATGTAGCATGTACTCTATAAGTATCTGTGAAAAATGGCACATACTTAGTAGCCTACTTGCTCCATAAAGATGTCATTTTCTATGTGCTAATTTATTCTTCTCCCTGTTTTGACTTATAACTATAGATGAAATAAAGCCTTTAACTGACTTGGGTAAATTAGATCTTGGATCTTGGGTGCTTCATAGGCTCTACTTAGAAATAAACCAATTTTGATTATATCCAACAAGTTTAATGGAGTAATTCTGAGTTTATCTTTCACTATTACTAACTATACACATTACACTATTACAGGTATTTTTGTTCCAAAAGTATTTCTATTTTTAACCTTCTGATCACATGCACTGAGAATATTTATCAATCTTCTTTTTTAATTCCTTTTCTTTTTGATGAGGAAATATTAATCTTTCTTTAGTTGGCTTGGGGTGATGATCCCTATGTTTAATTAACATTGTATGGGTTTTTATTTGGACATTTATATTCATTGTTGTCCATCTTACCATGCCAAAAGCATACATTGAGCCTGGAATTACATAGTATTAATGATCAAATGAATTCTTTCTATTAATTTGACTTTGGGATGTCAGTCTGTTTCTTAACACTAAATGTTGTGCTATATGGCTTTCTTCTAGACAGAGTAATATTTGATTTTTCTTGACCCAACCATTTTTAAGTATCACCTTCAACCACTATTTCAGCCTGATCTCTGGATCCAAGCTTAAAGTCTTCAGTTTCTATCCTTTCTTGGCACAAATGAATAGTTTTATACATAGGGTCCAAATGATATGTTTATATCATATGTAGAAATTTCCATAAGATCAAATAGCTATTTAATGAGTTTTTCTGTGGAGGTACATAACTTGATATTATAATGTGATTCATATTATGATATAATATAACCTCCTATTGCACCAAAAGCCATATTCAGTTCTTTTCAGGAGTGATGACAATGGGTTGAAGGATAGCAGAATCATAGGAGACTCAAAAGGTTTTCCTAGAATTTGTGATGTTTTATATCAACTGTTCTTGATCTTACTGAGTTTGGAGTGTGTTTTAAATAGCAATTGTTTTCCATGTGGACATCAAATATTCTAGTATTCTTAGCATGCTTATATTCATTTTATATATTTGCAGTATGTGATAAAGCCTGACTGAGTCAAAGGCTTTGACATAATCAATAAAGATGGTGTTAAGTGTTACAGACTTTTATATATCGCTTACATACGACCATGACTTGTTCAATAATAACTAAAGCAATAGGAATTGCTCTTCAAGCTTCTGGGGGCATTTTGGCACACCATCTTCACTTCTCAGCCAATATTTTTTTTTCTTTTAAGTGTTTATATATTTTTGAGCAATATAAGTCATATTTTATATAAAGTACATAAACATGTAAGTAGTCAATGTTTGAAGGGTTCACTAGAGTTCTCATCTTTTGGTAATAAATACCTTCTGTTAAGACACAGTTTAAAAAACACAATTCTTTGTTTAAAATATACTTCATAAATGTAATGTCTTTTGTTAAGAAATCTGGGGTAAGGCTCGCATCCAAAAGGAATCTGGTAAAATGCTTTGCTAGTAATTAACACATCACTGTGAAATGCTTGAGCCAATATTTATAGAACTTATGCAGATCTACTGCTTTTCCTGTTTTTCAGAGAAACTAGAGGTTCAGGCATCTTCCTTGAGGTATCATCATTGTCCAATACATTGATGATATACAAATTCCATTTTCCTCTGCTCCAACTTAGATTTTTGTTATGTTGAACTTCTTTCAACAATTTAAATGACCTGAAATATTCTACACTCTCCTTTATATTTCTCTTCTAGTTCTTTTATTTTTCAAGTCTCTCTAGTGTAGTTTTTTATCGATGTTGAACTGTTTATTTTGCTCTTTGAGCTCCTTTTATTCCTTATATTACCTTAATCTTTAGGCTTTCATTCTGCATTTTGCTTTTTTGGTTGTCTTCAGCTGAGTAATATGGTCAAGATTTCTACAGTATGTACCAGATGGATAGTGATGCAATCTTTCAATGACTTTTCACAAGTCTTCAATACTGACAAAGGCTACAGCATATATTGTTATATACAGGTTCTGAAATATTTTTGTACTGTCAAATATTGTAGAAGCATGAATTTATTCATCATACTTAAAGAAGATAATATTTTAAAATTATTTATTTATTTTTTGTTTAGATGCTCTGTTATTTGGATTTGCATCATCGGACTCAAA